CCGGCCTCCCGCAGCTCCCATAAAGTGCGCCACCCAGCGCTCTCGCAGCCACTGCTGCTGCGCCCGCCACCTTCCCGCCGCGCTCCGCCAGCCCGCGCCGCCGCCTGCCCCGAGCCATCATGGGTCGACAGAAGGAACTGGTGTCCCGCTGCGGGGAGATGCTCCACATCCGCTACCGGCTGCTCCGCCAGGCGCTGGCTGAGTGCCTGGGGACCCTGATCCTCGTGGTGAGTGGAGGGACCGGGACAAACCCTTCTCTCTCCAACCTTCAACTTCAGGATTCCTCTGACCGCCGAGGGGCTGGGCTTTCAAGATAGCACTAATGCCTGTCCCAGCTCCGACCTCTCCAGTCTAGACTCCTTCCAGAGTGCTCTTCCTCTAGAGCACGAACCCTGACTCTTGACAGAAAGACAGCTGTTATTCCCCAGTGACAGCTCTGGCCCTTTACCTTCCTACAGTGGTCACCTGGAACCTGCAGCCTCTCCTCATGCTTCCCACTGGTTCCCAGAGTCCCGGCTTTGGGATGCAGGTGGCACTGAGGCAAATGAGCCCCTCTCAGGTTATTTGGGTCCTGAATGTCTGGCCCTAATGAATAATTAAACCCCAGAAAGTCCAAAAGTTCCAATGACTGGAGGCCAGTTTGTCTGGGGTGGGGGCAGAGGACAGAGGCCATCTGGGTGCAAACTGGCGGTGGGAAGAACTAAAGATCCTGAAGATAGGAAGCTGTGTGTGTTGGGGGGGGACAGGTAAACAGACAGCTTCAGTGACACCAGACCCTGTCAGTTACCTTGACAGGTGCTATTAGCTCTGCAGAAGCACTGAGTGACTGCCTCCAGCTCTCAGTTACTCCTGGGAGTCTCCAAGTGGAACACTTGCCCTGCCGAGGTGACCTCCCGAAGTGGCTCCCCAGTCCCACTTACAACCTGGTTGTGCCAGTTTTGCCCCCAGATTGTTCCTGGGTGAATGTTTACAGTCCTTGGGGCTGGTGGACACACCAGTTATGGTCTCCATTTCCTGTCTCAGTTACTCTCTGATTTTTAGTCACTGAGGTGATTACATCTGTTTTGCCGTGGGTGACTTCTGGGTTCAGTTACTGTGTTGCCCAGTCCCAACCCTAAGTCATGCAGACCAGTCAGTCTGTCCGCCCCCCAATCCCCCATGGTGAGAAAGCTTAATTAGGGGCAAGTAGGGCCCTCCCCCCCCCCCCCCCCATGGCTGGTGGTTGTTGGTGGGGAAGACTCCTCAGGAATCAGAGCACTGAAACTCACCTCTAGCTCTCAGAACAGGAAGTGGGGGGTAAGCCACTTGGGGTACTTTATCCATAGTCCCTCAAAAGACTTGTCGCCCAGCCAGTCATCCCCACCCCTTCTCTACTCTGCACCAAGAAGGGGTTTTGGTGCTTATCACCTTCCTGCCCCAGAGCCTTGTATCCCCCCACCCCCTACTGATTCGTGGCCTCACCCCTAGTTTGAGAGCATCCAGGACAGGGAAAGTTGTCTTCTGCCTTCATGCAGGGGACTCCTGATACCTCCCAAGTCACATTCACCTTTCCCACAAAGGAGCTGTCATCGGGTCTCATGTTCAGTACTAGGGTCATTTGGCTTAATCCAGACCACAAAAGCAAGGTGTTTCTTTTGTGGAGAAGACATTCTGGCTCAGGTGGTATGAGGCATCAGATGTCAGTGGAGAGCAGGACCAAAAGGGCTGCCAGGGAGGAGGCCCAGGTCTGGGGGACCCCCGAGTGGTAGGGGAGGGCTATACCTCTCTGGGTTAGGGACCTAGAACCTACAAGTGCAGAATCAGGACTACCTTTGGGATGAGGGGAGCCCTTTTCTCTGGGGTATCTACTAAGGCTAAGGCTGGGGAGAGGGGAGAAGGGGGTGGGGAGTAGGGGGAGGAAGGAGGGAAGGAAGAGGAAGATTAGTAGCAAGGTGGTGGAACTGGCTCTGACAGCTTCTCCCTCCAAGGTTTCCTGGGATGGAGCCAGGTCTGGGCTTCAGGCAGGCAAAGAGCTGAGGCTAGGACCTGCCAAGCCAGCCAGGTGCCCCAGACCCCCACATGCATGCCCACCCCGCCCCCTTCACATACTCACACTCTGATCTTTGCTCAGGTTTGCAGCTGCCTGCATACTTTTGTCCTACATCACACCTCTGGCTTCCCTGCTATCTTTTGGTTTTTCTGAGGGATAATAATCAAAATGCTTAACCCTGTACAACAGGACTCTAACCATCAAACGGACAAGAATCCTTAGCATGGATCTTGAAACCTATCTGCTGGGTAGATATGAAAGCTTTGGTTTTAGGGAGGTGAGAGGGGACACAGAGGCAAGGACTGGAGCAGCTCTGGGGGACATTTTGGGGGCCCACAGTAACAACCCTTTATAGGTGGCATGGAAGTATATATAGCCTTGAACGAGGGGAAGAGGGGAACGACATAGCAGAACATTCTCTAGTTGTAGGACAGCAGGGACCATAGTCCCTTGAGTGCCCCCATGTCTGTCAGAAAACTTAAACAGAGTATCCCTATTTCCACCATCCTGAGTCCTGGATCAGGACTAGTGAAAGAGCATCAAATCTGTCTCTAGGACCTGCAAAGCTGAGAAACGAAACTGGTCCCATGGGGGCAAGAGGTTAGGGTGGGTGGAGAGAGGGGACTCTGAGTGGGAGACTGGGGTGGGCGGGTAGGAGTGTGACATCCCAGATTCAGGAGAAGAGGGTTCCACCAAACTTCTGGCCTCCTTATTTCTTCCCCCATTACTGCCACCACCTGAGCTCTACTTTGGGGCAAAGAGGGAGGCGACTGCTGATGGGAGACAGTGAACAACACTTTCCCACCTCCTTCTGGGCCGGTACTGAAGAACTGTGCTGGGGAGAAAGGATTTCCCTCACACAATTAAGATGCCAGGAAAATTAATCATGTTGTTTAGACCATCCTCTGGGCTCCCGGTCACAGACTCTGCTTCCAATACCTTCTGTGAGACTCTGTTATATTAAAGTTGGCACACTGGGAATGGGAGGGGATGTCTCCTTTGGGGTGCACTTGTGGCAGGGGTTCAGGTTGGGTTTCAAGAAGGGCCTCCCTTCCTCCTGATGTAGGGAGGTGGAGGTCGCTGGCTTCACTCCTGCCCTGTGGAGTGGTCTCGACTGGGTCTCACCTTCCCTGTCTTGTTCTGTTTTCTAACACAGATGTTTGGCTGTGGCTCCGTGGCTCAGGTGGTGCTCAGCCGGGGCACCCATGGTGGTTTCCTCACCATCAACCTGGCCTTTGGCTTCGCTGTCACTCTGGGCATCCTGGTCGCTGGTCAGGTCTCCGGTAAGGCACTAGCCTAGTCATCCCCCTCAAGAGCATTCCCATGGGGAATGGGTGGCGAGGTGTTCCTGAGGGTGTAGCACATGGCTGTGGCCTCAGGTTTGAATTCATGGGAGAGTAGAGAAGGAACTTGATGCTTAGAAACTTCCACCCTCACTTTGCAATCTGAGATTACCAGAGTTGGCCTCTTACATACTTACCCGCCATCTGTTTAAAAAGTCCTCTGTGCCCATGTTCAGAGGCCCAAATAGGAGAGATGTGGGCGGGGGGCGGGTTCTGGCCTCCTCACCATGGCAGACTGTGTCTAACTGGTCCCTCTACCTCTCCTCCCCAGGAGCCCACCTGAACCCTGCTGTGACTTTTGCCATGTGCTTTCTGGCACGTGAGCCATGGATCAAGTTGCCCATCTACGCCTTGGCTCAGACATTGGGAGCATTCCTGGGTGCCGGCATCGTTTTTGGGCTGTACTATGGTGAGCATTCCCTATCCTGCCCTCCTCTGCTACCCACCTCTCTCTGCTTGGGACCTGCTGGCACTGGGCCTTTTGATGACAGACAATTGGGGCCTGCCCAGGCCCCGGGCTCATGACTCACTCATTTACGCACAGGCCCAGGTAGGGGGCTGAGGGGAAAGAAACGGGTTGTGCAACAAGTCTTGGGCCCGCCACTCCATTCCCTCTGTCTCCAGACCATTACAGAGATGATTATACTTACCTGTGACCCCTAGAGGGTGGGAAGGGCCAACTTGGAGGGGAAGACCAAGCTCAGGCCTCTGCCTCACCCTCTCTGGGTCTAATCTGTCACCAGATGCAATCTGGGACTTCGCAAACAACGAGCTTGTAGTGTCAGGCCCCAACGGCACAGCTGGCATCTTTGCCACCTATCCCTCTGGACATTTGGACATGGTCAACGGCTTCTTCGACCAGGTACGGGCCAGGGACATGTGATGGGGACACAGGGAGGAGGAGCAAGCTGCCTTGGCTGGATCATGGGGTAGCTGGGAGTTAGGACTCTTAATCCATGGGTTCTCAATGTGTGGGGACACCTCCATGAGACTCATGGTGTCGGGTGCTTATGAAGCACGTAAGTTCCTATCTAATCAGCTCCCCAGGAGATCCTAACACAGCAGAACCAGGAGATGACAAGACTAAGGGGTGGAGGGAAGCCAGAGGATGGAAGGAGGGACTTGAGCGTGGGCTGGGAGATGCTTCTCACTCTGTTCTCCCCATTCTCTCCCTGCACCCCAGTTCATTGGTACAGCTTCCCTCATTGTGTGTGTGCTGGCCATCGTGGACCCCTACAACAACCCTGTCCCCCGCGGCCTGGAGGCCTTCACGGTGGGCCTCGTGGTCTTGGTCATTGGCACCTCCATGGGCTTCAACTCTGGCTATGCCGTCAACCCCGCCCGGGACTTCGGCCCCCGCCTTTTCACTGCCATCGCTGGCTGGGGCACAGAAGTCTTCACGTGAGTGCAGTCCCCACCCAGAGCACTCCAGCTTGCCTCTCCCACCCTGCCCCCACCCCTCACCACATATGTCTGCCTTCCCTCAGGACCGGCCGCCACTGGTGGTGGGTGCCCATTGTCTCTCCGCTGCTGGGCTCCATTGCAGGCGTCTTCGTGTACCAGCTCATGATCGGATGCCACCTGGAGCCACCCCCTCCCTCCACCGAGGAGGAGAATGTGAAGCTGGCCCATGTGAAGCACAAGGAGTAGATCTGAGTGGGCAGGGGCCACCCCCTGCCTGGCAACCTCCCTGGGACATTCACTGACTTTGCAGGGGCAGCTCCCTAGCAGCCCCTCAGACACCCCTCCCAGGCTAAGAAGCTCTTTGTCTACCCTCACCCCACTGGACAGCCTCCTTTGAGGACTTCCCTGCTGGATCCTGCTCACATAGGATCTTAGGCCATTGCCCTTAAGCTGGTGGGACAGGGAGTAAGGTCACTATATCCCTTTGTCTCCCAGAGGGAGAGAATGGGCTGCTGGTGTGTGAGTGTGTGTGCACAGGCGTGTGTGTGGTTTCCTGGATCTTCAGGACAAGGGACCAAGCTGGTTGGGAGCCCAGAGGTTGGGGGGTGGGTGGTGGGTAGGATAAGTGAATGGCCCATCTGTGAGTGAGAAAAGTGCCTGGGGTCTGCATGTTTCAGGGGCTCCATGCAGAAGAGAATCCAGATCTATGTTTGAATATGTGTGTGTATGTGCTCTTTTGCCTAAGTAGGGAACTTCTATATGCTTTTGGGGTGGGAGGTGTGGGGAGGGTTGGGAGGAAGGACCACAATCCAGGTCTGGAACTGTGGCCATCCCTAAGTAGGGGCCAAGTAATATGTTTCTGTCATAACGTAGGCATGAGGGGATGAGGTGAAGTCCAGGTCATACGTTTCATGTCGCTCTTTTTAAAAAGGTATATATATATATATATAGATAGATAGATAGATAGATAGATGTTACAGTCTTAGGGATGGGAGTTGGGAGACGCTAAATAAGGTCCCCACTCCTTTCATCTTAACTCAATGTATGTATTCTTTTGTCTTTTATAAAAAATAAAATGTATGTCTAACACAGCCAATTGTACAAGTATCTTTCTGCTTGCTTTGGGTTTTTTTTTTTTTTTCTGGAGTTAGTTAAGAAACTTGAGTATGTCTGCCTAGCTGCGTCTACCACTGGCCAGGTTACAACCTGGTGACTTTGGCTTCAGCTGTGCCCTGGGTGGCAGGGTTCAGTCACACACAGAGGTCAGAGACCTCTCTTCATCTCAGCTCGAATTCAGTGGTCCCACACTTCCTCCCAAGTTTCTGTCTTCCTGAGACCTCTGACACATCTCCATTCTCATCCCTGTACCCATACATCTTCCAGGAGGGCAGGTTTGAGTCCAGCATAGGGAAAAACGTTCTCCTAGACACAGCTGCCCATAGGAGAGGACTGCTACCCAAAAGTAGTGAGCTCCCTGTTGCTGGAGGAGACCAGTCCGACTGGTAACTGGCACGGGTTTCTCTGAGTCAAAGCTGTTCAGGCTCCATCACCACTACCTAGACCTTATCCACAGCTCCATTAGAATAGCCTCCCTGCCACCAAACCTGCCCCATTTGGTCCCTACAGCAATCGGGGGATCATTCTAAAACCCACCCAGAAAGTGGGGCAGAGAAAATATCCATCCTATGTTCAGGTCCCTGAGGACCTGGCCTCTGGCTTTTGGCAGTGCTTTATGTACCCCAGACTTCATCTATCATCTCCAATCTTTAGACCTTCCCCCTGAAGCCCAGAGACCATGGTGGCATTCATCTCTGTCTTCCCTCTTCTTCAGTCTGAGGCACCCCTGTAGCCTATAAGGCTGGGGTTTGACTATCTCTGGCATCCTGACTGCCCAAGGAGGCAAGGGGCCCAGGAAACTCTGTCAGGAAATCATGTGCCTCTTCTTACTTTCTCCTTCTTTACCTATCCTCCTCAAGTTTCTCTGAGACTCAAAGGGAAGAGGGCCCCCACCTAAGGCCTCCTGCAGAGTTAACTCCACTGGAGCCAGAGGATCCCTGGGTCCCATGGGAGAACTATAGTTTTTGTAGAGGCTAAACCAGCTTTTTAGCCCCAGTCATTTCAGATGAGAAGACTAAGGCTCAGAGAGGGTGGGTGGCAAGAGCAGGGTCACACAGCCAGGACTTTGGGGAGGTGGAGGTGGTTAGAATGCAGTTTCACCTCAGGTCTCCACTCCCTCCAGGTCCCCAGCTCCCAAGAGGCGTGTCTGGAATGTCAGAGGGACCTGAGCCAGAGGGAGTGTCCCCTTCCCAGGCCCTGGGGGGAGGAAGGGCAAATCTTGGGAGGGGAAAGAGACTGCAGAGTTTCATTCCAGCGACACAGGTCCCACCTTTCCCCCACCCTGCTGTCCTGCCTGGCAGGCCCCATGTCTCCTACCATCCCTTCTGCTCAGATCTTTTTGTGGATACAGACCAGTCAGCCCAGAGAGAGGGGGGCCTCTGGTGCAACGGTTAACATGTAGTCAGACCTGGACACCAGGCCCAGCTTGGCCTCTCTCTAGCTGTGCTACCTTGGTGTGATGAGTTTCCTCATTTGCAAATTGAGGGATTATGAGAACTCAGAAAAAGACTTAACACAGTGGTCAGTGGGTGGTAAATGATACTATTGTTGTGATTATTCCTGCAGAACTAGGAAGGGGGATGGTGCTGGTCCCGGAGAGATGCTGAAGATTGTTTTTTAAAGGTCATTGAATGTACTGTCTTCTCTGCCCAGATTCCTTCCATGGAGTCTGAATTTTCTGAGAGGGGGTGGGAAGGACGTGTGGTGGGTAATGGCTCACTGCGCCCTGGCTTGAGGACATTTTGGGAGAGATGGAAGAGAGACAAGAGGGGACTACTTGCACAGGTGGGGAGTGAGGGAGGCCAGCATTCAAGGGCAAGTGGATGGAGGTCAGACCACCCAAGGAGTCAGGCCCTGGGGCCAGGGTGTGGGGCAGAGCAGGGGCTGTAGGGACACCAGAGAGTAGCAGCCTGTGAGCCCTCCTAGGGCAGGAGAGACCCCCCCCCCCAACTCTCCACTCACTTGTAGGCATGCCTCCATTAGCCATTTTGCTGATAGAAAGTTCTAGAAAGAAAACTCTTCATCTCCTTTAGGAAAGTGTCTTCCTCTTCTCCAGTCAACTTAGTGCATTTTCCAGGGTGGACTTGGAAAGAGAATCATTGCACAGGGGGATAACCAGAACCCACATCTCACCTCTGGCCCTTCCCCTGAGTCAAGTCCTCTCCACAGGCTGCCCATGTTTCTGTGAAGTTCTAACTTGTTTGGATTGAAATTGGCCTACCTGAAACCCGACCTTGGTTCCTGTTTCCTTGTGTGCCTGCCTGTGTGTGTGCACAGAGGTGTGCGTTCTCGGTGTTTCTGGGCGTGCCTGCCCTGTCTCAGTACCTCTGGTTATATCTCTGTGGGTCTGGGCATCTGGCTGGCCACATCTCTGCTGCTCCCTGACTGTGTATCTGGGTTTTGCTTTGTGTATTTCTACAGGAACATCTTGTGTCCCTCAGAGTGCATCTCTGTGTGTGCATATAGCTACTCTCCAGCTTGGCAAAGTCCTGCCTGTCTTACCCTGGGGCATGCCTGCTCCTTAATTCCTGGTAATGAGCTCTCTCCTTGCAACTCTTTTCTCTGGATTTTGTTTGTCTGAGAACCTGGGTGGGGCATCCCCCTCAGGCTTGGGGAAACAAAGGTGAGGCAGTGTAGAGTAGGAGGGTAGGTGGGGTGGGAGGGAAGTACTTCCACCTCTCACAGGGACCCCAGAGATGGCCCCTAATGTCCCTGGGAAAGGTCTGTTGCGAAGACATGTCCTGCATGGGGCTAGGGTCTCCTCATTGGGATGAGGGATCCTGTCTTGGGGTGGGGTCCTCTGAGTTGTGATTCAGCGAAAGTTGGCAATGTGAAAGGAGGAGAGACCCAGCCATTGGGCCCTCTGGGAGATCCACTGAAGGGGGTTCACCCAAGAATACCTGAGTCTTCAGTGGGCAGCAGAGTAGGTGTGTCTATCTAACCACTGGGGGTGTGTGTGGGGGGGTGGCCTCCCCTGGGACTCAGCGTCTCTGCGCCTCGGGCCTCAGCCTTTGGAGCCAAATTTATTTGAAGTAAGGGAGAGGGTGGCGGTGGGAAGAAAGGCTCTGTTTGTTCTGGGTACCTCACTTGTCCCAGCATGGCACCTATCTCCTTTTTATGTAAAGGGGAAACTGTAGCCCAATTTCTCCCACAGGGCAGTGCAGCAGAGTCTGGATTAGAGTCCATTGTACTGTCCCCAGTCTGGCTGCCCTAAACCTCTTTCCCAGACAGCCCTCTGGAATATCTCAGGGAGCAGGACTCTGGCTCCAGATACCTGCATGTCATGTCAGCTGTAGGATCCTGGGCATGTTGTTGGGGATGGTGGTGGTGAGTGGTGGTGGTGGGGGTCTCCTGTTCTCTTAGATCCAGTCTCTGGCCTGCTCTGTGCCCAGGGGGCCAATATCTCCTTGACCTTTTGCTTTCTGGCTTCCAGCTTGACTTGGTAATGGGAGGCACAGCTGGGAAGTCAGAGGGTAGTGAGGAGGTGTACTTGACTGTATTTGTGCCTTTGCTAGAGCTTCCCCTGTTTTCTAGTGACACTGCTCTCTCCTCTGCCTCCTTTGGCCCAGGGGGACTTGCTGTCTGCTCTTGGTCCTGGGGACATTTCATTTTGTCCTTGTGTCTTTTGACCTTGCCTCTGTAAATAATCTTTTTATAAACTGTTCAGTGAAGTCCACCAAAGGCATGCGTTCTTGCTGGGTCTCTGATGGCTTTAATCTTACTAAATTTTAGCTTCTCCATCTGTAAAATGGGGGTGTTAAGTAAAAGTGCCTTCCTCCTTAGGTTGCATAAGAAGATTATTATGTGAAGTAACATAATTGCAGAACAATGCCAGATATTGCCATGAGTTGCCATGGAACAAGTTGACAATGTTGGGATGGTGATGACACTCATCATGATGCTGCTGCTTCCCAGAGAGCTGTAGTAAGAGTGAGACACCTGACTCTCCCAGGCCATCTCCTCTAGCTGCAATTTCCATGGGGGTCTTACTCAGCTTAGAGGTGTAGCCTGAATCCCCCCAGCTCAAGTGGAGCCAATATTCCCAGGCAAGATTGGGGTGAGGGGACATGGGAACCTCCGCCCCTTTCTCCTTAGCTGCTTTTTTCAGAAGGACTCAGGCTCCTGGGAAGGGGAGAGGTAGGTATCCCGCAATTTTGTGGGGCTCCAGTAGACTCGTAGGAG